TGGCTGGGGCTGCGTTCCTCCTCCTCCTCCTCCAGCTCCTTCTGGATCAGCTGCAAAAGGTCCACAGAGCGGGGGAATCACCACCACGGCCAGAGCAGATCCTGGTGGGACCCTCCTCTACTGAAGCAACCTCTGAGCGTGGCGATGAGGATCACCAGCACGATGATGATCTCCAGCTGGATCGCTCGTTTGTCAGGTGGGTGCCCCCCCGGGTGGTGGGTCTGGCAGCAGCCCCCACAGCAGCCCAGGAGGAGTTTGGACCACTCGGGCTGGGATTTGGGGTGGTGGGGGAGGAGGCAGACAAGGAAAGGAGTTGAGGGGGTCTAGAGGGGGATAAGGATGAGGAGGGATAGGTGTCTCCCATCCCACTGCTCTCCTCCGCTCTGTTTGCCCCACATTTTGCCCCCCATGAAGAGGGGGAAGGCTGCGGGAGAAGTTGCTTCTCCCCACACCAGCCCACCTGCACCAAAACTCTCCGTCTCAGCCTTTTTGCCTTAAAAACCTGCTGGCTTGATAAGCTGAGAGGAACAGAGGGGAGGGAAGATGTCCCCCCGTGTGTGCAGGGACCCACAGCTTCTCGGCCAGCCCCGGTGGACCGGCTGCACCTTTGTGGGGAGTTGGGGAGGTGACGGACAGAGCACAAAGAAGGTGGGAGAGACCAAGGGAGAGAGTGGAAAACCAGAATCTGGCTCATTTTGGCCAAGCAGAGAATGGGGGGACTACCAGGCGACAGGGACCGCGGCTGTGGGGAGCGACCGCAGCCTGTGGGGCTGAGAAGACACACTGCATCCACGCGGGCACGGCCAGCACCTCACCCCGGCCCAGAAAAAAGCCCCCGAGATGCGGTCCCCCTGTCTTGCTGTCGCCTTATGCACCATCCGCTGGGCAAAGAGTTTTTTCAAGCGCATGTAATCATCCAGGACCACCTTCAACAGAGAGCCCTGGGCAGAGGGGGAGAGATGATGGGTTACCCAAGGGAGATGGTTTGGTTGGAGGGCGGCTGGCCTCATCCCAGCATTTTTTGGAGCGATATCACCCTCC